CGGCAAATGTCTCAAACTTGCCCTGCCGCTGCCCCAGCTCCTTCCCTGTGTGGCTTCAGTCTTTGCCCCAGGCCTTCTTTCTCTTTTGCCTTTTCTGGTCACTGACCTCTCCTGAACTCCAGGTTCTGCTCCTAACCAACATTCATCCCGCCCTCTTGGGCCCCCCTGACACCCTCACCCCAGCTTTCTGCCCTCTCCCACCTCATTGATGTCACTGCAGTGGGTGCCATTGCCCTGCAGGCCTGGCGGGCAGGGCCCACAGCGGTAGCCTGGGTACTCGTACACTTCCATGCAGTCCACGCCTCGGAAGCAGGGGTTGGGGCTGCAGTGGGAACGCTGCTCGTGGAAGCCTGGGGGGTGGGCACAGTCAGAGCCACCCACAGGTCACCATTCAAACCACAGGAAGGGGAAGCCATGGGGTGGGGAGCCCAGTGCTGCCATCTGGAGCCCTCCCCTGCTCTCCCACTCACCGCACACCTGACACTCCATGATGGTGTTTCGGATCAGGGACATTTCCTTTACCTGTAGAAGGATGGGGAAGAGTCAGCTCTTGGCATGTGCCACCCTGCCCTAGGATCAGTACCACCCCTTACCGCCCACCCAAACCTGGTCTCGGATATCATCCCGCAGCTCCACCAGGATCTGGTTGAAGAGAGTGAGTTGGGTGACCAGTGCCTTGGTCTGCTCTCCTGTCAGGGTCCAGGGCATGGAGAGGCTCAGAACTGGGGTGCCAGCCCTGGCCCCTCCTTGGGTAGTAAGGCAGCTCCTGCCACTGCTGCCCCCACCTTTAAACCCACCCCATTCCTGACTGAAGAGGACTTAGTTTCGGGCAGCTGCCAAAGCCTGGGGCCTCCTCCCCACTCTTGCCCCCTCTACTTCATGGTGGCCAACTCACCTAGAATGGAGTGCAGTGCGTTGGTCACTAGAGAGGAGAAGAAAACATAGTCAGGGGTGTGGGGTGGAGATATAAAGAGGGGCCTGGCTGGTGAGGAGAAGGAAGCAAGACAGGGACAGGGGCCGGATCGTCAGAATCCTGATGGGGTATTGGCTGCTGGGAAGGCAGAGCCGGCAGGCAAGCAGCACCGGCACTTTCTGTGGGGTGAGGGACCCTCTAAGGGAGTTGCCTCATAGGACGTCAAAATCCAAATCCTCCTGGTTCCCAGGCATGGCAGTAGCAGAAGAGATCCAAGTGAGAGGTGACCCCAAAGCAGGGCAAGGGCCCCAGTACAGTCCATACCCTGCCTCCCTCCCAAGCTTCCACATCAAGAGCGCTTTCTTTGAAATATCTGGGAGAAGTGGGTGTTTTATTTAGGTAGGAGCCTCTGAACATCCCTGTCAGAGAGACCAGGCACATGGGCAATGGCAATGCTCAGAGACACTGCTGCTCAGTGACAGCTGCCAATGGGAGCTAAAAAAGACCCGAGACCAGGATCTCATTTAGCCAAGAACAAGCAATTAACTTCCTCCCCACTGTCCCCCAGAGTTCCTCAGAGTTACATTCCTCTCTTGGATCGTTTTATTTTTCCAGACACCCTGGTAGGCAGGTTGACCTGAATGGGGAAATTTTTCTGAACCACACCTGGCTATATTGGAGATCACAGAGTCAAGAGGTGAAAAATTTGGGGTAACAGGGTCAGACACCCCAGGAATAGGCAAACCAAAGGAATAGTTGTTCAGGGGGTGGGAGGTCAAGAGGACAGGAGTCACCAAAGACCATAGGACCTGTGGTCCAGTGTCAGCAAACAGAAGTCTCTGCATTACCTGCACTGTGAATAGACTCGTCCCCTTGGAATGGACACTCGCTCAGGGCTCCTACCCGGGCCATGGACCCACCCAGAATAATTTTCATAGATTCCACAAAGCCCTGGGGGGACAGCAGCAGAGTAAGTGGGAGGATCTGCCACCTCCTCCCCCAACTGGTGCAAACTCTGTTTCCACAGAAACTCAGAGGGTCCTCCCTGCTCACCTGCATTCGCAAGTAAGCCTTCTGTCCAGTCCTAATCTCCAGCCCATCGACCTCTGCTGGAGGAATGGGGGCCAGTGCTGGAAGGCCAGTATGTTGGTCTCCCAACTTGCAGTCCACATAGAGCTGCAGCGCAGGGCTGGGTCGGGACGGGCCTCGGAGTCGCAGGAGAGCCGTGTGTGTGCGCCCATCAGCCAGGCCTGCTTGCTGTAGGTTCACGGCGTGGACTTTGCCATCCTCCCGCTGGTAGCGCACCAGTACTGCCCAGAAGGGGAGGTCAGTATGGGTACCGTACCCCATCCCATCTCCCAGTTGAGCCTTGGATCAACTCTTCTGGATATCACATCTCTAGGGCTACCATCCCTAATTCAGCTATGTATCTCTCAACACCTCGTACATAATAGGTACGCAATAATTGTTTTTTAAATTGGTTTAGAAACTAAGACATTCGTAGTCTCCAGATTGCTCTATCCCTAGGGTGGCAGCTAGTTCTGTACCCACTGAACTGCCCCGGGGATCTGAAGGACCTCTTCTATATCACTGCTGGGGCACAGAGACATGCCTCACCCTCCCTTCAGGCATCCCCAAGTATAACCTCCCATTCCTATAAATACGAGGCCCCCCGCATTGTTTGGATACCTGGCCTCTTGAAGCACCTCCTAAGCATCCCATACCACATGCCCCTGATGCCTAGGCACAGTCTGATAAGACCATGGTCTCCAGTGGAGGTCAAGGAGAATTGGGAAGCACTTGGGAGGGGGAGAAGGGAGAGTGCTCAAGGAGGTCACTGTCACAGGAAAGGAGATGCCCACCAGTCACCTTTATTGATCTTGCCCACAACAGAGGCCTCCAGCCATCGTGTGTTGTCTTGGCGAGAGTAGAGGCCAAAGAGGACACCACCCTGCTTGGGGGGCAGGCGGAAGGTGGACAAGAGGTAGATGTCTCCAGCAGTGAGCAGGGCTGTCCGGATCTTCTCTGCCACAGCTACCATCTGCCGGGACTCGCCCACAGTCAGCAGGTCAATTACTGGCCAGGCAGGAGTTATCAAGAGATCAGAGAAAGGGACCAAATGCGAAGGCCTGCCCTCTCCCCTGAGCCCTCAGGGGTGGGGCATGCCTCATCACCCCCAACCCCCACCACCAGGCAGCATTAGTCACATTCTCAAAACTCAACCCTCTTTGCTCTCAGAGGACAGAGGCATTGTACCTTTCTTTCCCTCATTTTTGCCTGCTACCACCTCTGGAAACCTGCATGCCTGAAGCTCACTTGGAAATACAGAAACAGCACTCCGCAAACTTGAGATGCCCCCACCAGGTGGCGCAAGGGAGATGCTGTGCTGATCTCAGGCAGGAGTGGCACCTGGTGCCCACAGCCCAGAAATGGGAGGCAGCTTCTCTTTCCACTGCTGGATTTGTTTTATTCCACACCCCAGTGGCCCTCTCCTCCCATCCTGGGGTCTCAGCACACCCGCTCTGAATACGAACAGCTGTCCACTGAAGCCTCTGACCCTCCCCCCATCTGGGCTGTCTCCCACGGGAATGTAGGACCCAGCTCCTCTGCCTCCTGTGTCCTGGCCAGTCTGTGGTTTCCCCTCTAGCCAGTAAAGAATCTGTGCCTGTGTCATCTGCTCCAGCTACCTCTCCCACACCCATGGGCCCATCCCACCACCAGACCTCCAGGAGAGCCCAGACCTCTTGTTCCCCACCCCTACCCTGTCCTTAGGCAGCAGGGCTGGGGAGGAAGATGAAGCTCAGGGACCCCCACAGTACATCCACCTCAGGCTGCTCTCCCAGACCCTGGGGTGCCTACAGATGCCCAGACCCCAACCTAGCCAGGCAGCCCTAGCATCCAGTTCCTGAGTCCTCTGCCCTGGCTCATGTCTGACCCTGGCCAGGTCCCATTCACCCACCACTCTCTGGTGCCCACTCCTCCCCACCAGCCCATAATTTCACCAACTCTAGGCACGATAACTCTTTCCTCCGACTCAATTTCAAGACTCTTTCCCTCTCCCCTTGCCCACATGTTCCCTGCTACCTGGGCTGAGGGAAAATGGGGAGGAGGCAGAGAGGGGTCTATGAGGATGGAGACAGGCTTACCCTGCAGGTCCTGACTGGCAGATGCGAAAGAGCAAAGAAGCAGAAGAGCCAGGGCCCCCCGAAGTTCCTGCGTCTCCATGCCGCTCAGCCGGCTCACTACCCCTGGCAGGCAGGCGGCTGGGAGGGGAAAAGGCTAGGCGGAGAGAGCAGGAGCGGGGGGCGGAGGGACCGCGGGGGGAGTCGGAGGGGGGGCCAGCAGGAGGGTGAGGGGGGGCTGAAACAAAGAGCTGCCAATCACCCTGGAGGCATCACCAACTCTGGGAACCAGGGGCACTGGGAAAGAGAGTCCCGGAGGCCTCCCTGCCTCCTACCCCTCCCTAATGGTCCTCTCCCCGTGCCTCCCTGTCATCCCATTGTTGGGGGTCTCAACACAGCACTACCGAATGCTACTGTTTTCTGGAAGCCATAGTTGGGGAAGGCAGGAAACCTTGGCAGAGGTTAGTGCCAGACAGGGGGCATTATTCCATAGCTGGCAGGAAAGGATGCCAAGGGAGTGGCCAAAACTAGATTGCTATAATGCCCAGGGATGCCCACATGGCATGAAGTTTGCTGCTCTGGCGGAGCAAGTGCTCTTTATTAGGGTGAGGGTCCCCTAACATGTGCATGTTCCTCCATTTTCCCCCATTCCTAGGAAAACTTGGGAGTCTGGAAGCGTCCGATGGGGACTGGAGAGAGAGTCTAAAACAGTGGTCAGTGAGGTCGCAGTGAAGAAATCAGGAAAGAGGAAAGGGACACCAGGGACAAGAGTAGACCAGGGGACAGGCCAGGAGCCAAGGACCAGATTGTGGAGCACTGCGGATACTAGCGGACCGGCCATGACCCGGATGAAGCGGAGGGTCGCCTGAGTTCCCGTTACCTAGGGAACAGCCGGCGAGCCCCACCTCCCCTCCCCCCACCCCGGCCCCAGCCCGGCCTCGGCTCCGGCCGCCGCCACCGCCCCTGTTTTGTTTCCATGGCGACAGGCGGCGCAGGGCCCGCTCCAAACATAACGCGCTGTGGAAAACATGCAGCTCGGGGGACCCCCCCGCGGTCCCCGATCGGGGCCGAGCCCCGAGGGGCCCCGGAGCAGTCCACGCCACGTGCAGTTTGGCAATAGTCCCCAGAGCCAGCCCAGGAGCCCAAGATCCCCCTCTCCTGGACCCGCTGCGCCTTCGGGGGTTCGGGGCTCCACTCGGCCGAGGCGCCGTGACTCTCCGAGGCGCGCCTGGCCGGCAGCCCTTTTCCGCTGCGGGGGCCGCCTCTGGATGGGCCGGCGGCCGCCTTCCCCCGAAGCTTGCTGCCCCGCCCCCCGCCGTCCCGCTGCCTCTCCAGACGCGAGAAGCCCCGCCTCCTCCGGGACCTCCCCAGGCCCCCCGCCCGGAGCGACCAGAGGGGCGGTGGCGGGGGGCGGGTCCGCTAGAGGGAGGGCAGAAATGCACTGGGAGGTGCTTCCGGGACAGAGGGCGGGCAAGATGGCGGCGCCCATGGAGCTGTTCTGCTGGTCAGGGGGCTGGGGGCTGCCGTCAGTGGACTTGGACAGCCTGGCCGTGCTGGTGAGGGATGGCGCCGGCGCCTTCTGCTGCGCCCTGGAGGACTGGGGAGGGGGCCGAACTGGCCGAGCATCCGAACTTTGCCAGGGCTCCTCAGCACGGGCGCAGCGGGGGAAACTGAGGCAATCAAAGAGTGTGCGTGGCTGATATGGGCTCAGCGCCCTAAGCCGTAGTTTCTTAAGCTTCGTGCTGCAATGGAAAGAGGCCTGGTCGAGGGTTCAGCAGATGGGTTCTAGTCCTTATTCATCCATTTACCAGTTGTGTGACCTTGGGCGATCCCGTCTCCTTCCCGGGTGCTGTTTCTTCACTCGGGGGTTTACTAGGCTGTACTATCTAAGACATCTCCTCCAGCTTAGCATTTCTGCCTTCTCAGCCCCCTATCCTCCTCCTTGCTGAACAGCATTACTGAGCCTACTATTTGTTGGAACAAATGGCCCATAGCCAGGCTCTGTAGAAAGTCTTGGAATCCGACAGACTTAGTTCACTTCATTCATTCACTCAGTCCTTCATTTAAAAAGCATGCATTAAGCTTCTTCCAAATACCAAATACCGCCTCGCAAAGATGAAAAAGACTTGGGCCCTCCCTTCAAGTTGTTAACAGAAAGCCAGACATGTAAGCAAATAAATGTAATAAAATGTTCAGGTTTAAGATACAAGTAGGAACAGACCACAGAAACTGCCAAAGAAGGCATGGTCAGTGCTTCCAAGGATACAGGTTAGGATAAGCTTCTAAGGATAGGTGTTCACCAGGTAGATGGCAGGAGAGGAAATAGAGGAAAGGATTTTCCTGGCTGACTTGTAATCATGGCCATGTCCATAATCTCTCAGCCCTGTATTGTCCATTTGTAAAATAGGAATGGTAATGTCTACTTCTTTTTTTAGTACTAAGGTTCTAAGCATAGGGCCTGGCACATAAGATATTCAATAAATATTATTTCTCTTTTTGATTCCGTTGTGGGGGCCGTGGCCCTGCCCCCTCTGCCTTCTGCCTTCCTTGCCTGCAGACCTATGCCAGATTTACTGGTGCTCCACTCAAAGTGCACAAGATCACCAACCCCTGGCGGAGCCCTTCAGGTACCCAGCATCGGGGGGGTGAAGAAGGGTGTGCACAAAGGGAGGAGCAAGAGAGAGGTGGGAATGCGTGGCAAATATGTATGGATAGGCAGCTAAGTGTCTGGTGGGCATACTTCTCTCTTAATGTCAGGAACTCTGCCTGCCCTTCAGACCAGTCATGGAGAGGTCATCTCGGTACCACACAAGATCATCACCCACCTTCGAAAAGAGGTAAGTGGCTTGGATACGGGGGCTGCCAGTGAGAGAAGTTCAGTGAGTTCAGTGCAACACATATTTATTGAGCACCAGACACATGCCAAGCTAGACGCAGGTGACCCAGAACATCAAGGAGCACACAGTCTGATGGGGGAGACACACAGGATGTCACTGTATTGCAGTAAAGCAGCAGGCCAGAGATTAAGCTTAGGGCACTGTGGGGACAACCAGAGGCACATCCAGAGGCACAGTACTGTCTAACCTGCTGGGCAGGGAGAGGGGCATAGGCTGATGACAAATGGAAGAGAAAGGAGAGTGAAGACAGCAATTGGCTCTGATGAGGACTTCAAGGGTGGGACTGGAGAGGGACTTACAAGGGCCACTTCCCTGTTTTCAGGGAGTAGGGCTGGATGTGGGGCTCAGGATGGACAAGGCTTAGAGCCAGGCTGGGTAAGTTGAAAGAGCATTGCAATAGGAGTGGGGAGGCCTAGGCTATGCTCTTCACTCTGTCATTGACTGTGCAGTCTTGGGCAAGCTACTTAACCTATCAGAGCTGTGCACTCCTTATTTATAAAACTAGGGGCTTAGCCAGCAAGCTTTCCACGGGTTCTTCTGTCACTCACAGTCTGGTTCCAGGAGAGAACACATGGTCAGAAATGGGATCCTCTTCCTTATTCCTACTTTCCCAAAGGTTAGGGAGCTGGGGAATGAATGAATATAGGCTTGAGAGGCCTGGAGAGAGGGGATCCGGATAAAAGCCAAAGTTCCTGGCAGGCCCTGGGCTACTATCCTGGTTCCTTATGTATGAACAGAGCTTTTCTAATTTCCAGCGTATTCTCCTAAATTATTTCCTAACAGCCACATTAAAAGAAAGAGATCTTTATCTCCATTCCACAGGGGAGAAATGAGGCTCCAAGAGATGTAAGGACCATGCTCATGAGGTTATTTGGGGACAAAGCTTACTCAGGATGTGGAGGGGGATGCTGAGGAGCAGAGACTGGGAAGGTGGGGCAGACTGAGACCTGGGGGTATAAGTGGAATGTGTATGTGGTGGTGGCGCCTGGGCCATGGAATGAAGTGGAAGAAACAGCCAAGAGCTGGGCATTGAGGCAACAAGCTGGGAGGCCCTGGGCATGGGTTCACTGGGTCCAGGGAGTGTGAGGATGGCATCGCCTAGTTCCTGAGGCATGGAATGAGGCCCAACCTGCATCTGAGCTCCACTCTGCTAGCTTTGTGGTGTCTGGATCGAGAAAGTTACTGTTAGAAAGTTGCCGTCAGCAGGCATGCTGCCAGCTTTCCGTGGAAACTCTGGGAGCTACTCCTAGTTTGTGGCCGGGCCTTCCTTCCTCCCCGCAATGGGCACAGGACCTTGACGGCCAATGGGCTCCAAGGCCCAGGCTTTCTGCCAACAGCAACAGGCTACTGGCTGGGCCGAGGCAAGGGGGCCTCAGCAGGAAAAGCTCCTTGCTCTACCTCCACTACACTCAGAGGCCAGTGATGGGGGTAGCAGACAGGATTCCTCCCTCCCTGGCAAAGTGCCCCTGCGGTCCCCCAGTGTCCACCTCATGGATATTTCCTCCACAGAAGTACAATGCCGATTATGATCTGTCAGCCCGGCAAGGGGCAGACACCCTGGCCTTCATGTCTCTGCTGGAGGAGAAGCTGCTCCCAGTGCTGGTGAGTGTGCCAGGCCTGCCAGCATTCACGGCCAGCAGGGGCGAGGGTCAGGCGCACACACACCCACACACAGGCTCAGAGCAGTGTGGGGGTCAGAAGCCCACCCTGAATCAGGCAGGTGCACTGGCTTAGCCTGCCTCTTCCTTCCCACCTACCCAATCCAGATACATACTTTTTGGATAGACAGCAAGAACTATGTGGAAGTGACCCGAAAGTGGTATGCAGAGGCTATGCCCTTTCCCCTCAACTTCTTCCTGCCCGGCCGTATGCAGCGGCAGTACATGGAACGGCTGCAGCTGCTGTGTGGGGAGCACAGGCCTGAGGACGAGGAAGAGCTGGAAAAGGAGGTAGCTCTGGGACAGGGGGCTGTTGTACAGAGATGAGCCCCAAGGACGATGGCCAGGAATGGGAGTGCCTAGGAGGGGAGGTGGCACTGTTCCCGCAGCCGCAAGCCTACCTGTGTCCTCCCTATAGCTGTACCGAGAGGCTCGGGAGTGCCTGACCCTTCTCTCTCAGCGCCTGGGCTCTCAGAAGTTCTTCTTTGGAGATGCGTGAGTCTCACTCCGGGGGGGGAGTGGGTAGCTTGGAAGAAGATACAGGTTCAGATGTAGCCACTGGGGCTGGGGCTGGGGTGGGCACAGGCTCTGGACATGAGGTCCTCAGGACAGACACTGGCTCTGGTGACAGTGGGGCTGTGTGTGGGGCCAGAGTCTCCTCAGAGGTACAAGAGGGTAGGGTGGGAGGGCAGCCAGGCACAGGAGGGGCCTGCAGGGCTGTGGGACACTCAATGTGCCCTTTATGCAGCCCTGGGATAGAGCCCCATTCAGGTCGAGGCTGGCGCCACCTGGGGAACTCTCTCCATACCAGGTCCAGAACTGTGTGTCCTGTCCTTCCCTGGTGGCCCCCTACTGCCCAGAGCCCACTTCCAAGGCTGTCTCTTCCTCCAGCTCTAGCTTCCCCCGTCTGCCTCAGTTGTCCTCCTCCATCCCACCCTTCTCTCTCTGCCCCAGCCCTGCCTCCCTGGATGCCTTTGTCTTTAGCTACTTGGTCCTGCTGCTGCAGGCAAAGCTGCCCAGCGGGAAGCTGCAGGCCCACCTGCGGGGGCTGCACAACCTCTGTGCCTACTGCACCCACATCCTCAGCCTCTACTTCCCCTGGGATGGAGGTAAGGCACAAATGGGCGAGGACAGCCCTGGGGAGAGTGGGCAGGGATCCAGGAACTAGCCCCCTGCCCACCTTCCTTCCTTGTTCTTCAGCTGAGGTGCCACCCCCACGCCAGACACCAGCAGGCCCAGAGACTGAGGAGGAGCCATACCGGCGCCGGAACCAGATCCTCTCTGTGCTGGCGGGGCTGGCAGCCATGGTGGGCTACGCCCTGCTCAGTGGCATTGTCTCTATCCAGCGGGCAACGCCAGCCCGGGCCCCAGGTACGCAGGCCCTGGGCATGGCTGAGGAGGATGAAGAGGAATGAATTGTCCACATGCTCCCAGGACTGATTTTTTTTCTACTCTCATGCATTCCAGAGGCCTCTGTGCCTCCCCATTGTTGGTATAGCCGGAAATGGGGTGCTCCCCCTCAGAATAAAGCTGCTCACACAGACTGGAATCATATGTTCTCTCCTTTAAGGGGCTGCCAATTTTCCTAGCTGGTGCCATGGGAGCCAGCTGGGTGCTTCAGCCTATCCAGGGGCTCTTGGCTTCTACACAGGCCCAGTTCTGCATCTCCAGGAAAGTCAAACAGCCCCAGTTTTGGGTCCAGCTTTCCTAGTCTCTTCCTTTCCTTAGCCCTCCTCCTCCCCATCTTGTGTTTGTACAGACAATGAGCTCACCCTGGGCTTGGGCCCAGTTTCCACAAGCAACCAGCACAGCACACGCTCACACAAGCATGGGGGCTGGGGGCACCGGGGCTTCCTGATCTTTCCCTAGGGGACTCCAGCCCCTGGCACCAACTCAAGGGGAGAGTGAGTCACCCAAACCACTGTCCCTGGGCTTACATCACTGCAAGCTCACCCTGGCTCTGCTGTGCCCTCTTTAACTACAGATAGCATCTTAGTTGACTCTGTCCCTTTAATGTCCATGCGGAGCCCTGGTGCCTCCTCGAGTGTCTGCTGCATCACTGGCGACGCCACAGGTAGGTGTGAATGGAGTAGCCAGGTGAGATGGTCTCCAGGAAGCCCACGGCAGGATCCTTGATGGTAAGAGGCACGTCCTTAGAGGAGCTAGAGAGGGGAGAGGAGAAGCTGAGAGTGTGATCCTGCCAAGGCCCACCACCCTGTCTTCAGCCCAGGACCCTGCTGTTGCCCTTACCGGTTCAGCACGACCACAACTGCTACAGAGCCATCCGGATGTATCAGTGCCACTGTGTCCAGGTTGTTCTTCTCACTGGCAACCAGCCCCACTCTCTGGGAGCCCTCAGGAATGAACTTGCTGAATGTGGGGAATGGGCATCATCAGGGACCCTGGCCCAGCCCTCCTGGCACTCAGGACATCTCCCATCAAACCCTCATCTAAGGAGTAACCCATCCTCCTACCCCATAACCCCTGCCAGAGCTCTGCCCTGAGTCTCTTGGCCTCGAGCCATGCTGCCGGGCACTGGCGCTGCCTTCCCACATTGCTGCCCCAGCGTCAGGCATTCCGGGGTTGTCTATGTCTCTGATGCCACCTAGTCACTTCCTGCCTAGGTGGCGCAAGAGAGGATGGGTGTACCTCTCCCAAGTTTCCCATCCTAAACACATTCCTGCTCCTTCCTGGTATGGGGTGATGTAAGTCCAATGTGGGCCATGAAGGGCCTGGTATTGAATGGGTGCCTACCCTCCACTCACCTGAAGTGGCCAAGGTGGTAGAACATGGGCTGTTTGTAAAACGTGTCCTTGGTGATGTCCACAATGATGGGGCTATCAACAAAGTTGCGCACCCAGTTGGGTCCTCCCTCAGGGTTTAAGGCAAGGTTCCAATCGGTCCAGCCGACAACATGGTACAGGAGATTCTAGGGTAGGGACAAGGGCAGAGACAAAGGCTCAACACTGGAGGTCCCCAGAGAGTATAGCTAAGGGTTGCATGAGGGGGGGGTTGTGGGCAGCTCAGCCCTGGGAGCCGGGCGTTCTGTCTCTTTAGTATCTAAGGAGGGGGATCACGAAGTTGGCGACATCTCAAGGGAAGCTGGGAAAGCTGAGGCCCGCATAGCTGCCCGAGACCCAAGCATCTAGAAAAAGGGTGATGGGGTATGCAGGTCTGTGAAGGAAAAGCAAGATAGTGAATCATGGTTTCCCAAAATTGCCTCAAAGGGCAAGCGGGCTGGGGAAAAGTTGGAGAGGAAGGCCTTCTGTCGGCCTTCAGTGAGACTAGGAAGGGTGTGAGGTCGTCTGCTTTGCCGGAGGGAGACTGGGTGGCTCACCGTGATGATGCTGTGGCTGTACTGCATCCCTCGATCCCAGGAGCCGAGACGCACACTCTGCTCCCAGAACTTGGAGCCCACACAGGCCTCTGAGGCAAAGAGCGTGATGTTGGGGAACAGGCGGTGTGTCTCCCCCAGGGTGGCTTTTGCTGGAGCCAGAAAGTCCAGGTACCAATGCACAGCAATGCCATGAACATACTTAGCTGCCTCTGGGTCTGCCAGCACCTGCAAAGGGAAGGACCACTGGGGAAGGGGAGCCACTGACCCTGGGCCCTGCACAGAGGATTCTGAAAAAGGAACTAGGAATCCTGAGAAACAGGTGGGGGGAAGAATGCACTAGAGGGGGTTAAAGCACCTGCCACTGGAATCCATGGGGCCCTGGAGGTCCAGAGGGGGTGGTGCTCTAGGAATCAATAGTTGGGGCAGGGAAGACACTTTAAGTTTGGGAGCCAGCCATTTGGATGCTGGATTTGGAGGTCACTGGGCCTTACCACCTGTGCCCAGCGGGGCAGCAGCAAACGTTGGTCATCCAGCATGAACACACGGACGTCGCGGTGAGTACTGTTGGCGAGGGCAGGGCCCAGGTCACGGGCAATGAAGTCTCGCTGATGTTCGGGGGTAAAGCCTAGGCATTGGAAGGGGTACCCACTAATCAGCCCTGCAGAAGGCTCATTTTCGGTTGTCACTGCCCAGAACTTTAACTTATGTTCAGCATAGGCATCCAGGAACCTGGCAGGAGAAAGGTCATGAATGATCAGACCAAGAAAGTAAACCAAGACCTTAGGGAATAGGAGGCCCGATGGAGGGAGGAAACTGACGGGTCCACATCTGAAGGGTCCAGAAGGTAAAAAGGTGATCTGGGGAGAGGCAGACCTGGAGATGGAACCAGGTCAAGGGGTGGGACGTAGACCAGGATATCCAAAGGGGAGGCTGGTCCAGACCCCATGGCCTTGCTAATCTCTTACTTGACAAAGTAGTTGGCCCAGGTCTGGTGATAGATATCCCCTGGATGACCCTTGAGTGACCCCTTCCCATTCACTGCCCCATTGGTCTTGAGCCAAGTGGGTGATGTCCAGGGGCTGCCAATGAGTGAGATGGGACGTTGCGACAACTTCAGAGCTCGATGAATCAGGGGTATCTAACGACAAAGGTAGTGAAAAGAGAGACACCCAGAGTTGGAACACAGACAGACTGGCCGAACCAGTGCATCAGGTATAGCCATTAGCCCCCACCCTCCCACCCCCAGGACGAAACAGAGAGCAGGGGGTAGGTTCTGTCTTTCTGCCCCAGCCTGAAGCTTCTCAAGCGCCAGACATCAATGCTGTCAGGGCCTGAGGCAGCCAGAATACCCACCTTGAGCTTGGTATCTTCCTCTGGGAGGCTGAAGTTGTGCAACTGGAAGTCATCAGGGGTGTCATCATAGGTGTAGATGCGGATGGAGAAGTCACAGCTGGCCATGGGTATCCGTAAGATGTTATATTCAAGTCCTACAATAAAGAGTGACCAAGATATGGGAGTCAAGTCGATGGACTATGGGATTGACTTATCAATTTCCAGCTCTCAATTGTGTCTGAGTCAGGGCCAAAGGGAACTTGAGCTCCTGGCTTGGGGCCTGTGGAGGTCAGCACGTGGGTTAAACACAGCCCTTCTGAGCCCAAGAGCCCCCAAGCACTTAGCAGAAGACTGGCAGGGCAGTCTTACTACACCGGGCCTTAAGAGAGGAACAAAATGCCAGGCATGGGTGGAAGTCAGGATCTATGGAAAGTATCAATTGCACTGTGTCATCTTGTCCCCCTCCTCACCTTCTTCAGAGAAGTACGATTTAAGTAGCAAATTCTGGGCAGGAGGCGACAAGGCAAGGATGTTGAGAGCAGCGGCATCTGTCACGGCCCCTCCAAATCCCTTCACTTTCTGGAACTTCTCTTCTGGCTGCAGGGTCAGTAGGAGCCCTGAGGATACCCGCAGAGAATAAAGAGTGTCAGTGTACAGGGGAGAAACTCCATGGTGATCACTGGCATGATTTAGCTCCAGGAGGACCCAGCCAGGCTCAGGGGTGAGGGATGGAGTGGTCACCTGTGCCCGTGCGATTGGCCCCGATGGTCCCCGTACTCAGTTCCATCCGACGCCCACTGCGTGTACTCTCGTAACGGCTGAAGGTGCCAGGAGCAGGAAAGGTCAGAGGGTCAAGAGAGTCACAGTATGTGGCATTGCAGACACAGACCACCGAGCTGTAGCCGAAGCTTTTAGGGATGCAGGGGCGGGCACCTGGGAGGGAGGGAGCACAGCACAGGCGAGGGCTGAGTTAGGACACAGAGAACAGACACACTGCCTGGGAGACACTGGACACTGAAGGCTGGTCTCAACCACACGAAAGGGTTTATTGAGCACCTACTAAAAGTCTACTACCAGTGTACTAGAAGGCTACAAGGTGGAAGGGAGCCTCAGTACCACCTCCCCCCTCCTGATTCACTCACCTGATGCCCAGGACACTGCCTGAAGTAGAAGCAATCCTGCGAAGCTGGCAGCCATGATGCCTACCCTACCCAGGTGCTTGGGGCATTCCTGAGAACAGAATGAGGAGTGGCTGAAAGGCAAGCCCCTCTCCACCCCTCTACTCTGCCTGGGCAGGGCTTAGCTGCATATGGGAGCCCATGGCCTCGTCTCCCACCTTTATTTGGGATGGGACAGGGCCCACAGGCACCTGGGCACAGCCCTCCCTGCAACCCCTCTGCTGGTGACAGCTCTGCCCACCCCAAACCAGGACTCTCCACACCCCTCTTCCAATCTGTTTCAACCTCAACCCCTCCCTCCCTCCCTCCATTTGTGCCCTGCTCAAAGACAGTCTCACATTCATTGAATTCCAAACCCTGAATGGCCAGGATTCCAGGAGCAGTGTGACAAGGCTGATTAGGACCCCTGCCTGGCCTATTTACCTCTCTGGAAGGACTCAAAAACTTCATCATCTCAGGGTCACCAGATGAGAAGACTGCAGGGGTTCCAGAGTGTCTGAGGGATAGAGGATCCACTAAATAAAAGCAAGGATGCAAATACCTGCCGTAGCTATAGACAGCAGGTTAGTCCTGCGAGTTAATTCCGGCTTCATGACGTGTCAGTCATGTGATGACTATGGGAGCATCACATGATACAGGAAGTGAGGCAATTGCGTCCATATTTCTAAAGGGCAATTGGCTTCCACCGGATGGTGGAGATTATACACCCTATGAAACTCTGAAAGGCATGTGTAATGACAACTTTAGGAAGAGCCTAGAACAGAGATTTGAGTAGAGAATTAGGTAGGGGCTCCTAAATGCCAGAGGATGGGAACCACGGCAGGCCCCCTGCTTTCTTGAGAAAAATTTCAAAGTGATACTAATAAAAAGAGGTTCACTGTGCAAAATACTGAGGCCACCAAGGTGTTTAAGATAGTCTTTGCCCTGTAGAGGCCCATGAGGCATGGGAATCAGATGCTTACACAGATTATTTACGGATAAAGACAGAAATGGTAACACGTGTACATGGAGCGCTCCTCCAGACAAGGAGGGACGCTTCGTGGGCGGGGAGTTATCAAGGAAGGCTTCCTGGAGAAGGTGGGGGTTATTATTAAATACTCAGTGATTGGCTCACGCCTGTAATCCTAGCACTCTGGGAGGCTGAGGCGGGCGGATCGTTTGAGCTCAGGAGTTCGAGACCAGCCTGAGCAAGAGCGAGACCCCGTCTCTACTAAAAATAGAAAGAAATTAATCAGACAACTAAAAAAATATATACAAAAAATTAGCCGGGCATGGTGGTGCATGCCTGTAGTCCTAGCTACTCGGGAGGCTGAAGCAGGAGGATCGCTTGAGCCCAGGAGTTTGAGGTTGCTGTGAGCTAGGCTGACGCCACGGCACTCACTCTAGCCTGGGCAAAAAGTGAGACTCTGTCTCAAAAAAAAAAAAACAATACTCAGTGAAGTGCAGGGAGGTGGAACTGCACAGTGGGATGGCGGGACTGAAGAGGAGAGTGGTCAGCATTGCTCTTCTGTGGCCTCCCTTGTTTCATCATCAGATACAGATTGTGATATTAATAACTGGACGGGGAGGTTTGGAAAGTGTTGTACAAAGTTACATCCTCTTCAGAAGTTAGTTGTCCATGATGTTGCCTCATGAAGCACGTCAAAGGAGATTTAATGGGAGTGACACACATAGTCAAGACCCAACTAATTCCAGCTCTCTAAGCCTACTTCCGCGCCTGTGCCCATTGGGGGCAGTACCACACCCTCACAGGGGCATTACTGCAGCGAGATGAGCACCGTGCCTGGCACTCAGTTGCTGCTGGAGAACTGTCTTTTCTGTTCTTCAAATTATCTCAGAAAGATCCAGATACACCCCTGGCGAAATTGATCATTTCTTTGTCTAGGTTCCTACAGTACATAAGTATACTCTTAGTGAGACAGCAAGGTTCAAATCCCGACTCTACCATTTACTAGCTGTTTGACCTTCAGTAAATTTCTTAATAGCACTAAGCCTCTGTGTCTCATCTATAAAAAGGGAGTGATAGCTCCTACCTCAGAATTACCGTGAGGTTTCAGTGCGATAACGTGTGTCTAATACACTGCTTGGCACCAAATATTGCAACAAGTTAGGTCTGTGTTTATGGAGTTCCTTGAAGGAACGTCTTACTCATTCTAGGTAGCTTCCATATCCTTGTAAACAGCCTGGCACAGGGGTAGGTACCAAATTGTTGAATTGAATTGAACTACTTGCTTCACTATGTCAGTATCCACCCCTTGCAGACTTCCTGTTTTTCCAGGAAATGTGGCACTGGACTTATCCTAGGTAGGGCAGGTGATATCTAGTACCTTACTTCCCTCTGGTTGATTCATTCCACAAATATTTCTTGGGCACATTCTACATTTGCCTCTGCCTGCTGTGCTGGGTTTAAAGCCTCCCTCTGCAGGAAACAGTTTGTGAATTTCTTCTTTTTATCCTTCAGTTTGGAAAATTTTTCCAGGGTGAATACCATCTCACCTTTCAAATTTCTTGCACAATGTGATTTGTCCTTGAGGATTTTCTATTTTATTTTCTAAGTAATGTTACTTTTAATAAGGACTAATGTTTATTGTGTCAAAGATAAAATTATAGCAAATTTAGTTTAAAGATCTCAGTTGGCTCTAATTGTGATTCCAGAATTGGGCGACATTTCATTCTATAAAATAGAATAAGTGTTCCAATGAGTCCAGCAGAGGAGGTTGGTTTTATAAACAGAAAAAGGGCTAAAAAAAAAGCAGAAACAAAGAACAAAAAGCTGATTGGTCTTTGGTCATTTTATTTTATTTATTTATTTATTTATTTTTCTGCCTGCCCCCCACAAGTCTTTGGTCATTTTAAAGTTATTTCCTTGTAAGGCCAGGACAGGAGACAGAACAACAGAAAGGTAACAATAGAAAATTAACATCAGGTTACTCTTTGTTGTAAGGATTAAAACAGAGTGAAGGGGCAGGCATGGTGGCTCACACCTGTAATCCTGGCACTCTGGGAGGCCGAGGAGGGAGGATTGCTTGAGCTCAGGAGTTCGAGACCAGCCTGAGCAAGAGCGAGACTTCGTCTCCACTGTAAGTAGAAAGAAATTAGCCAAACAACTAAAAATAGAAAAAATTAGCCGAGCACAATGGCACGTGCCTGTAGTCCCAGCTACCCGGGAGCCTGAGGCAGGAGGATCGCTTGAGCCCAGGAGTTTGAGGTTGCTGTGAGCTAGGCTGATGCCACGGCACTCTATCCCAGGCAAGAGAGTGAGACTCTG